AAATCAATAACTTTTGGCATCTGAAAATGAAAATGCACAACAATTTTAAAATAGTTTTACGCAGCCGATTTCTTGTAAACTTCGAAAAACGACAATTTGCACAAAGTGCAAATTTCCTTCCGTAGAATTTTTTTTTTCTGACGTTTCTTCTCGATGATAATATTATATTAAAACAATAAAAAGAAGGGGTCACCGGGCTTCTTTTTATGTAAAAGCCCTCGCGAGTTCCGTTATTCCCACGCGCGTAGACACGCATTCGAAAATCCAGACTTTATAAGATCAACAGTTGCTCATGAGCTGTTTTGACTACCGCTGACTGCTTCGTCTGCCCGTGCGGGCGAGCGGGCTCGGAACAAGAGTTTTGTTTTGTTTGCTGCTAAAACATCATTTACAGTTGTAGTTGTCGTTAAAGACAACCTCCTGGGCATACTCTGTAAGATTTCTATACAAATTCTGGGTAGATTTGCTATGTTTTGCGAGTCCTTTATAAGCTCCCGGTGGCTGTCACGATCGATCGAGTTGCCTTTGAAATTTGGGAAACTTTGAATTCCCGAAACAGTTTTCCTTAAATATACACAATTGACTCAAGTTGTTCTAGCAGGTAAAGCCTCCTTTATGTGCGAATTTCGTCTCCAACACTACAAAAGTGACCTTGCATGAAAAAGCCGCGCTACGCCATATTTGTTTGGTCTTTCGGGTTTTAAATCTCGTGCCTCTATCGTGCGTGTTACTCACGCGTGACGCACGATGGTGATCTACTCCCCGCGCGAGAAAACTGGTACCAGCCACCTTAAACCAACGCAAATGTCAATAACTGTCGTTATAATCCATCAAATATTATCGCTCCCGTGCGATTGGTCTAAATGAGTGACGTGATTACTATCTGCAATTTCGCCAAGACGTGAGTTTAATATTTTAACTTTCTCTTAGAGAGCATGTAACAGACCAAGGAAATCCAGTTCGCATGCATTATGTAGTCAACAAGAAAGAACCGAGAAATATAAAATTTCAAATAAAAATTGAATGAACAACAGGGTTGCGCTTGAAACTTGTGTTGCCGCCGCATGGCTGCATTTAATTCTTTTGTTACTTTTTCCGTTTGTGCGCACATTCTTTCCGTCATCATTGCATTCTTTTCGTTTAAATCTGGCTTTCACGTAATCAATATTCTGTCAGGTTTTTTTTTTTGGATAATTTTGTTGTTTCAGTCCCTTTTTGTATGCATGTAGCCGATGCGAAGAGCGGTAGAAGTAAGTATGCAAATGAGACAAACGAAAGGAAATGCCAATAACTGTCGTTATAATCCAGCAAATATTTTCGCTCGCGTGCGATTGGTCTAAACGAGTCACGTGATTACTAATTGCAATTTCGCTAAGACGTAAGTTTAATATTTTAGCTTTCTGCTAGAGAGCATGTAACAGACTATGAAAATCCAGCTTGCACGCATTAAGTAGCCAACAAAAAAGGACCAAGAAATATAAAATTTAATAAATAATTGAGCGAACAATAGGCTTGAGCTTGAAACTTGATTGGATGAAAAGCCCCTAAAAATTCTACACTAACAGCATACCGTCTCTTATTTCCTGAGCTCTTTTTGATCTGTGGCGCGTTGGCCAGCATCCTGTTAAAAATAATAACAAAGAGCCTTCAACACAAGAAAGCATTTGTCATTGTATCCTATGAATAATAGTTTTAAGTCAAGTTGTATAAAGAGAGTTTAGAGCGGCTTATCAATTGAGTGTCGTAAAACCAAAACGAAAGTGATCACTCACACAGATCACAAAGAACACAGACAATCCAGTGAACCAATCAAAACTCCAATCAGATACGAAGATAGATGTAGCCGATACGAAGCGCGGTAAGAAAAATGTGCAAATGAGTTAAACCAAAGAAAATCCCAAAAACTTGCGGTATTCAAGTGAAAACCGCTCTAGTAACCCATAACTGAAGTAACACTGAAATCCCAAAAACAAACTGACAAACAAACAGGCCTGTTTCCAAGTGATTTTGTGCTTCTTCAAAATCTCTCTCCTTCGCGACATTTAACCTATTCTGTTGCAATTACCGATGACGGGCTGAGAGTGAAAATTTCAACAACAAAACACAATTGCCAAGCAACAATGGTTTACGTAACACCAAATCAGTGATACTCAAAATCGCACTAAGATTCCACGTTGATCGACTGGAGTGATAAAATAACACAACTTTCTTAAAAATGTTTAATTTAAAATCCAGTGAAAAATGTATCATAAGATATAAAATACACGCAACTTGTGGTCTGCACATGAGCTCGAAGTAAAACAACAGATACTGGGTAATGCAATGTATGAGTTATTGAATTCCAATATGCTCGTTCACAGCTTACCTTTTGTTCTTCCTGCTGTCTTTATCTCGGGGCAAATGCACCTGGATAAGTTTAAGTCCGCGGTAAGAGTCAATTCGGTGAATGGCGACCAGGCGTTTACGAGGACAGACTGCGAAATGAAACATTTCTCCTTCCAGGTCGATTACACTCAACAGGTCACCAGACTCAACGTTAAGTAGTTGAAGAGTAGAACCTGAGACAGCCTTGGAGAGGATAACACATTCTTCGTCACTGACAAATTGGAAATCACAAAAATCAACGCCTTGGCATAAAATACGTAATACCCCTCCTGAAAATGCATCAAGGACGTACATTCCTCGGTCACCCTCTTCTGTTTCGGCAAAAATGACAACAAACTGTTCAGAAAGTGAAAACGCTCCGATGGAATCTGCCTGGAGAAAATCTCCGCTTAGGGGACGGAGAAAACTTCTCCCGGGGGTACGGAAATGGGTTTTCCAGAGAGTAATTTGTCCATCTAACAACTGAAATGAATCGGAGCTGCAGGTTAACAGCTGACATTTGCTGTTACATGTGAGAAAATATCCACGATCAACTGGAATCGACACGATCTCTGAGGTTGTGGTATTCAGGATGATCACTATGTTTCCACTACTTAACGCCATCCGCTCTTCTGATATGGGGACTACATGTATCTGTGTGAATATCCTGGGTTGAACCAAGTCAGGCCAGCGTCGGATGCAGTTTGACAATTCAAAATTCCACATCTCAAGACAACCATTTGCTGTTGATAGTATGACACCTTCTTTCATGCGAGCTTCAAGACATGAATACATGAATACACCGACCTGGCCAACGGGTTTCTCCCTTAAAACGTCCCAAGCCGTAGCTGTTCTGTACCTTTCATCATCACTGACAACATAAATAGTCTCTCCAGTCAAGGAAAATGCGACGTTTCTCGTCTTGCTAAAACGTGGTTCTGGTATAATCGACGGTAGGGGCGAAACCCGGAAAGGAGGAAGTACTTCGTAAGAACCATTTCTCCGTGGTCCACTTATATTCAACATCTCTACGAAAGTACGAAAGGGATTACCTCTTAATACTGATAGCGTATCTAACACAAAATGAAACGACCAATCCCAGCAGGTAAGAGGATCTCCTAACAAAAAGCCAGCCACACTGGGTGATTCCAATTGCAAAGCCGACAAGCTACGAAAATCATCTAACTGAGTACAGCTGGGGTGTTCCGCTATATTGACATTCAAACGATACGATCGAAAAAACTGACCAGTTGCGCTACAAAAACAAAAGACAGATCGACAGTCAGGTGAGAACGTAATCATTCCACAAACTTCATAGTTTTCAAAATGGTGTTCTCCTACTGTTCTAAATCCATCCCTGACATCAACAAAACAGGTTAAACCCGTTAAATGGGAAATAGCCAGCAGCCTTCCATCTGGTGACCACGCAAAAGATAAAACATCATCATTTCTGGTAGTCCGAGTAATCTCTGTACCATTTTTCAGACTCCACATAATAATGCATTTTGCGTCGTCTGGGCAATCAGTCAGCATCGTGGTCTTGTCTCCTGAAATTGAACAAACTGTGAAACGGCAGAGGCTTTGCGGAAACAATGCTTTCAGATCTCCGTCAAAAGTATAGGCATGGCTAAGGACTCCTGGTAAGACAATGTCTTCTTCAGGATGGAAAACAACTGAGCNCGTTCAATGTATAATATAACAATTATTAGATTCGGTTTTTGTGATACCCAGAATAATCAAGGTCTCAGTAAAGGTTATCAGCGTCAGCCTTCGGCTTCGGCTGATAACCCCTACCTCGACCTTGATTATTCTGGATATCAAAAAAATCTCATCCAATAACTTTTTAAAATCAAATCACAAGAAATCATTACAGTAATATATGGCAAGAAATCTTGGAAGTTGGACTCACAGTATTCAGTGGTGACACCAAATACAACTTTCTTTCAAGACGTATCCAACAGACCAAGAAATCCAGCCAGGTGCGTGTTATGTTTTGAATTTAAGCAGCCAATTAGAATGCAGTTAGATAATTTTACAAGAACTGAGACAATCATCATTAGACCAATTTCAATAAATAAAATTCTAACTTGGCTCCGAGGTTTAGGAGAATAACAAAAAACAAATTGCATCGAGGATCAGGGATGATTAATTAATTTCGTTTGCTTTTATTCCCCTGAGCCTCGGAGCCAAGTTAATAATTTAATATATCGAAATTGGCATATTGGAGAACTGAGACAAAATTTGATTCAAGTATGAAAATTTTACAATTTAGGTAGAGGGTGTATCACAAACGTTTCTAAAATTTCTAACCTCTTGATTCCTGTTCTCTTTGGAATCTCTGGTGTGTTAGTCATCCTGGAGAAGAAGAATAAAGTTTAGCTGCAGATTTGACAGTGCTTCTCGCTTGACAACAACGGGTGATATCGGACTCCGAGACTTGAACTGAGTTTTTCTGAATACAATCTTTTTTTCTACAACTGAACTCCTTCTTCTACTTGTAGTACTAAACAATCTCATAACAGTACTAAATACAACTTTACACACCCACTTTAATGCTTGTCCCGGACTCAAGCCAGGGGTAAACTAGGTTCCCCCGGGACCCCTCCTTTATGTGGGCTGTTTAGGTATGTACGGCCCCAAAGCGTATGTTTTTTTTTTAGCCGTTTTGGTCATAAATAGGGTATCGATTTTGGCCTTTTTGTTCTCAAATAGTGTATGGTTTTTTACTCTAGTATTGAATTGGGTATGCTCTTTTTACTTTTTCATCATCATCGATAAGACCATCACTACAAGCCCTTCACAATGCCTTTAACATCGGTCTGAACTAGGTAACTTATCATAAGGCAGGTCTGAAACAGGGTTCCCCTATTAATTTAAAGGGACACTATCACCATTTTTAGCATGATTTTGGAAATCTCAAAAACATATATCGCTCTTTGGAAGCTGGACAGTAATGGTTTTATTTTGTAGTGTAGTACTCGACAAATGATTAAAACCCATTACGAAGTGAGGATGGCTAATGATGGCGAGGGTGGACACGGATTGTGATATGGATTTTTGAAAAAGCGTCAGGATATCAGGTCTTCAAAGGTTCGAGTTTGGCTCAAAAATCGTTGAAATTTTGCAAAAATGTTGCTGAAGTGTGGACTTTCAAATTGCTTTTAATCATTTAGTTAGAGCTAAGTACATGTAAGTTCTTATTACATAAATTTAGGGACCATTTCGTGAATTTACAACAGTTTTAAGCAAATAAATCGCGACAGCATCCCTTTTAAGGGTCAGGTAATAAATAGGGTATCAAATTTTTGGTCAGGTCATAAATAGGGTAAGGAAAATCACAGATTTTGGTCTTGAATGGGGTACAGCTTTTGGGAAGCGGGTCACACACCCTCGCCGGATTTTTCTAGGAGTACCTCCCCACCTGGACCAGGTCGTAAAAAACAAAGTACTCGGATGTAAATCCTGAACGAACGCAACTGACTGGATAAGGCAAGCCGAGGGAGAATTGAGCCAAAACTGTACACAAATAAAATAATTTTACAATTTCAGGTACATTACATGTACATGTAGATGTTGCTAATAATGTCTAACCTCTTGATTCCTGTTCTCGCTGGAATCTCTGGTGCACTGGTCATCCTGAAAAAATAACACGTTTACCATGGCCTCCGAAAGTCCTCAAAGTTATTACATTTTATATGTATAAGTACTGCAAGGTCATCTTTGTTGTGATTTTGGACCAGGGGTTGGTAGATTGGTTAAAGGGAGGCTTTCACAGTTCGGGGACATGTTTGCATTTTATTATTCCCCTGTGCACGCTTTTTGGCACAGGCCCAGTTTCTCATTGTTTATGAACCAATCGTAAGCAAGTTAGTAACCTAATTTTGCATGCAAATAGCCGCAAAGTCATCAACCCTAGAATATAAATTGTATGGGTCAAAACTAAATTCAACGGTCGACAGGGTCAGTAAGATCGGCTGAAATCTTCTGAGAAGTTTAGTCATCCGTCATTCTACGATGACTAGCTACAGCATGTGATTACTGAACTATATCTAGGTGGGGTTTTTAAAGCGATAACATTGATAAGAAGTGAACAAAAGTATTGAGATTTAGAGACGTGCGCCAAACCGTGAAATCCTCCCTTTAAATGGATGCCTGAGGGTGGGTAATTTAAAGGAAGATTTCAGTTATTACAACTTGAGGTACATTACATGTACATGAAGATGTTGCTAATGATGTCTAACCTCTTAATTCCTGTTCTCGCTGGAATTTCTGGTGCATTGGTCATCCTGGAAAAAATTAAAATGTGCTTAATAGCTATCCATGTAGCACCGAACTAGTACTAGATGCTCTGAAAACTGTCTTTCATTCCAATTTGTGTTGAATGCTTATCAGTTTACCAGAGGCTCTGTTCAAATGGTTATCAGGAAATCTATATATTGAGTAACCAAACCACGATGTTTAATGATGATCAATGAAATGAATTAGAAACGTGCCAGACATACCATAAATTTCTAAAATGTTTGTGTTTATATTTGGAGGGAATAAAGTTACAATTATATTTGTGATAATCATCTAAAAATCAGTTTAAGTCCACACAAGGATATCACATACATGTACTGAAGCTCTCTAAGCAGTATAGAGGACTAAATAGTTTTGCAATCATTAACTTCTTTTAATTTAAAACTTACAGTACTTGGCTTTTATTAGGGTCTTACCTTTGACTCTTTCTGCTTTCTTTACTCCCTGGCAACTTCACCTGGATGAGTTTCAAATTGTCTTTGGATTGCTCCAAACCAATGGCGATGAGCTGCTTACGAGGATTAGTGTTTAAACAAATCACTTTGCTTTCCATATCAATTACACTTAGCTGGTCACCAGACTTGACATTTAATAGTCGAAGAAAATGATGCCTTGTGGACTCCTCAGAGCAGACAACACATTCCTCGTCACTGAGAAATTTACAGTGTTTGATCACCTTGTCTCTACATAAAAAGTGTAGTGTTCTCCCCGAAACTGTGTCAAGGACATGTGCACCTTCACCCCCCAACTGAAATAAAATTAAATACTGTTCTGCAGGAGAAAACAACCCTTCACAGGAAAAACGACCATGATAAGGAGAATCTCTACACCACAGTATAGCTTGGCCATCAAGCAAACGAAGGGAGCGAAAGTTCTTCACGGTTATCACCTGGCATTTCCTGTTACTTGCCACAAACTCTTCATCACAAGAAAGGCGCATTGTTGATACTATTTCTCCATCATTCGTATCCAGGAAAGTCACTTGCTTCCAAAGTTTACTGCTCCTGTATGTGCAATCTACATATGCCACTAGGTCTTCTGATAACGGGGTCACATACACGCTTCTTGGTAAGTTGGGCCATGTGCAGACACACACAGAGAGCTGAGAGTTCCACAGTTCGAGGGTATGGTTTGTTGTTGAGAACAGAACACCTTCACTTACAGGCACAATATCAGTTATTGTCCCAAAGCTTTTCTCAGCTTTGAGCTTCCCACTAGAAATGTCCAGTGCGCTAACTGTTTCTACTGCTGTACCACTGACAACATAAATAAACTCGTCATCTAGAGAAAATACAACCTTGTTTACACTTGTAATATTTCCAAGACTTGTGGGTGCGCGATGCAGCTTTTGCCCGCTCGTTAATTCATTAACATTCAACATTTCTATCATTTTTCTATTATTTCTATATGAAATTAATACACTTTGTTCAGTTAGTAAAAATGCAACTCCCTCAGCCTTCTGGGTGAAGCCATCAAATACGCATAAAATAGGATCCCCTAACAAAAAGCCAAACTTACTATGTGATTCGAATTTCCAGGGTACATAAGAAACTCTGTCATAAAAAACATCTAGTGAAAAGGTACAGTCATTTTCATTATTTACATTTAGACAAAAAAGGAAATGGTCGTTATGACACAAGCGTTTAGGCACTGGTGTGTGCTTACAATAAATGAATCGATGGTCTGGTGCAAATTTTATCATTCCACATACTTCTGAGGTAGTCATTTCTGCTAGTGTTCTAAAACCAGTTCCAACATCAACCAGACAAATTAAACCGGTTGAATGGGAAATTGCTAGGAGACTTGCATCCTGAGACCATGCAAAAGACAAGACATCTTTACATCTGGTAGTGCGACTAATTTCTGTGCCATTTATCACACTCCACAAAATGATGCACCTCGCATCATCACGGCAATCAGTTAGGATAGATGTCTTGTCTCCCGAGACTGAGCACACTGTGAAACTGCATTTGCTTTCAGGAAAAAGTGGTATTAGGTCACCATCCATACCATAGGCACAGCTGAGAACTCCAGGTAAAACAATCTCCATGGTAGGATGAAAAACAACTGAGCGATAGTGTGAAAGGACAGGTGATGATGGCACTTTTCTAAATGCCTCAAAGTAGAAAGTTTTATTGATCATCACAGGACGTTCCCAAACTAGTTTGCCTGTAAGGAGTGACCACAGCTGAATTGTTCCATTTTCACATTCACACACCAAGTAGTCTGACTGTGGTGAAACATCAAAACAAGCCACACAAGATGAATGTTGAAATCTCGCTTGAACTGCTCCCTGCTGAATCTGATTGTGCATGAATTCCATATAGGGTAAATCAGGATATTTGGTCTGCAACATGTTTGATGCCATAGAAGATAGAACTGATCCTCCCTCATTCAGCACGGTTTGGAAGAATACACTAGGATGACCTGTAAATGTGCTGTAGTACTTTCTTAACAGGTAAATTAAGGTGCTCAACATACCTTTGCTATTTTCAGAAAGCAATTGAGAATTTTCCTGCCTTAGAAGCCATAAAATATCTTCAGCTGCTATTGAATATTTTAAACAGAGCTTCGCATACAAAAGCTCTAAGTCTATCACGTATGTTTGCACACATTTCTCTTGGTTACATGAACTCATATTCTCGTCCAACTGTAACATGTGTCGTACACCATGATGTAGAGCATACTTCTCAGTGGAGCTAAACTCTGCGTCACGTACACCTTTTTGCTTCAGATGATCGAGTTCCTTGGCACAGAGGCTGGCAAGTATACGGTGGCCTTCTTTCTCATCCATGATGAAGTCATGCTCTCCATAAGAACAAGCATCCATCAACCAGTCTTTAACGGACTTGTGAATGACGTGAAGACAGCCATCACGAATAGGAAGAAGTGACGACACACTGCTAAGAGCTTTAAGTACTTTCCGCTTTCCAGGTCCTGAGCTAGCATCGGGTACCAGTAGTTTGGAAAGAAAGCCAACTGGCAAGGGCTCCCTGCATGCAGTAACAATGGAAAGCAGCTTAAGAAAATTCTCTTCCTGGACACCCAGCTCCTTAAGTTCGTTCTCTAGACGTTTAAAATAGGACTTGTAGATTGAAGAAATTGCTAGTGGCAAGCTATCATCAAGATCTCCTTGGTCTAGAACTGGCACATGCTCTTCAACAAACGAAACAAGAAAGTATGCGTACAGCATGAGCCCTTCAGACTTTTCGACAAGCTTTTCCACGATGTCGCTTTGCTTTTCTGCTTTGATAACATGTTGCATCCTCTTTTCCAAGAACCACTTGATGTCTTCCATATTCTTGTCATCATTTGATTCCAGCAGAAATGGCTTCAGATGTTTCAATGCCTCTTCAATGTTCCTCTCTGGTCGGGTCGTACAAAGGAATCGAATCCAACATGGCAGCCTGCAAAAGTGGTTGGCAATGACATCAAGTAGCTCATTGCGTTCTTGGAAGTCACTTTCATCCAAGCCATCAATCACCATGAGCATGTTTCTTCCTGGGTCAGCTACAGTGCTAAGAGGTTCCTTAAAAAGCAGTGCAAACAGCTCCTCGACACCCATGTGGTTAGGATCTTTACCCAGATTTCTTGACAGCTGTTCCACAAGAGCTTCTTTGTATTCTGGCAAAGCATGGCACAAGTGACAGGCCAAGGACTGAAGCATCAACTGAGGATTTCGGTAACGAGCATTGTTATGCTGACAGAAGTGGCTTCCTGCCAGTCTGCCAGCTTCCTGCATTCTCTTGCAAATAACAGCAGAAATGACTGACTTCCCCATGCCTGCATTTGCACTGATTACCATAACGCGGTTTTGAGAATTTCTGTTGTGTAACCAGTTTTCAACTTTGCTGAACATCCACTCACGAGTACCTTCTTGATAACGTCCTACATGATACTCGATGTCACCTTTGAACTCTGACTTGGCAAGATTCTGCAGGACTTGCTCTTCTACCCTGTTTGTGTCTCTTCCCTCTTTCAAGCTGCCAACAGCTTGCTTTACTGCTTGCAAAGTTTCGGTCTGGGTCTGATGTAATTCTTGCAGTTTTGACTGTGTTTTGGTTTGGGCTTGGAGAACTTCATCCACTTTTGACTTGCTCTCGTGAAGTGTTTCATGGTCTTCTAGCTGGGTCTGGCGTACGTTGTCAGCAGTTTCTTGTATGTAGGTTTGGGTTTGACGTACTTCATCCAGTTTTGACTTGCTATCCTGAAGTGCTTCACCATCTTCTAGTTGAGTCTGGCATACTTTCTCAACAGTTTCTTGTATGTTGATCTGGGTCTGGTGCATTTTATCCAGTTTTGACTTGCTATCCTTGAGTATTTTGTCGCCATCTAGTTGGGTCTTGCGTACTTCCTCGATCTTCTGTTGTGTTGTGGCCTGATATTGACAGATGTCCTTCAGCTGTGACTTGATGTCCTCTTCACTATTGGCCCAGTCAAGTAGCACGTCAAGATAATCTTCCTCCCCACAATGTTCTGCCTCCAATCTATCAATTTCTTTCTGATCCAAACCCAGAGCAACAAGAACAGCACTAATTTCCTGCCACAAAGCATTGAAAGTTGGTGTATCAACAGCAGTGGTGGACACATGACCATACAATTCATTGCGGAAAAACTTAACACGAGCAAGGTTTGCCTCAAGGGAATTATCACTTGGAGGTGGGATAACGTGCCAACCTAACGGGGGTGGGGATAGTCCACAAATGTTGGTCAGAAGGACGAATAGTAGAGTGATATCAAATGTTTTTGAGTCTGGTGTAACTCCAGCAGGTGGGAACAGTTGGTCCCACTGAGCTGTACGCAAGACTTTTTTCTTTAAGAGCGTATTTAGAGTTGGGTAATTTACATGGAGATCAGCAGCCAGGTTTGGAGGAGAATGATAACCATCAAAAACATTCCTTAAAACAGTCGTTCCGCCATCAATAAGAAGTCTGTTCAGCTTGGCTCCATTTGTCGTCTCTCCAGAGCTGGCCAAGAGCGAAGGCGCAGCAGCAGCAGCCATCTGAATCCAAGTTACACTGTACAGAGTTTACATAAAGCTCTTCATCATTACCTGTGTGAAGTAAGAAAGGAATTTCATCTTACCTTTTGTATCACTGTTAAAAATATTGGGTAGATTAAGTCTGCACACGAGCCACGTGGCTCACCAGGCCAGCACTTATCTCCGGTTTCAAGTAGCATGAAGTGACTAGGAGTATTTCTACTATCCCCTGGATGGGATGCTAGTCCATCACAGGTTTATCCTCAGCATAAATTTCTCCGGTACCCATTTAACACCTGGGTAGAGAGAGGCACTGTGAGAGTAAAGTGTCTTGCCCAAGATCACAACACAATGCCCCCGGCCAGGGCTCGAACTCGGACCACTCAATCCGGAGTCGAACGCACTGACCACGAGATTTTAGCTCGAAAAGGTTCGTAAAATAACCCGCGCCATGCCAAGAGATTATCTCGCCTTATGAAATCAGAAACCAATTGAACAACAGGACGTCCTAACCTCATTGACAATTGATCAGGATTTCCCAGGAAAAGCATCGCATTACAACACGTTTTCTATCTCGCTGTGGCATTGAAGAGAAAGACACTAAAACGGGCAAAGTAGCCAAAGGCAAAAGAAAAAATGCGCGATATAAACAATGCCAAACAACATGAAATACGAGCACCAAGATAAGCGTTTGCCGCAAAAAGGTCCCCTCGCGGTTTCGTCCATTTAAGCGATTACAGTCGAAGCTCTTGTAAGCGGACACCCTCGGGACGCGAAAAAAGTGTCCATAACTGGAGCTAGCCGCTTACGAGAATGGTTCTCGTAAGCAGCCACTAGAGGTGTAGGGGATAGATGGCCACTTACGGGAGCTTGCCCAATGTTTCGAAATGTAATCGGACATAGATGACAATAAAACAAACACTGAAATATGGGACTATAATTACTGAAAACTCATTGTGACGAACGGCGATGTGAAGTTGATTGATACAGACAGAGATTGTTAATAGGATTTTCTTTGGGGTGTCCACTTACGGGAGCTTCAAACAAAGAAGAAGTCTAAGTCATTATCTCTGAAAGTGTCCGCGGCCGCTTACGGGAATGTCCGCTTACGAGAATGTAAAAATACAGAGTTTGTATGGGAGTTTATAAAACGGGGTTTCAAACAGGGCGGCCGTAAATAGAGCTCTCCGCTTACGAGTGTCCGTTAAGAGAGCTTTGACTGTATGACACTTTCCTGGTTTATCAACTTTATTTGAAAATACATTTTTTCTAAATAACTCGGCTGCTTTTCGAGATTTTTAATATTTCTCTTTTGTAAACTGAAGATAAAATGGATGACTTAAATTTTGTAAAATAAAAGAAAAAACGATTTTTTGTGCCCTTGAAGGTGGGAAGTAACCTTAACCATGCCAGGTTGGTCCAAAAGTCTGGGTAATACAAAAACAACCGCCTGAGAATTGGGATCAGAGCTGATAGGCCTCTTCCATAAAACTACACAATTACAGAAACCAGAGGCAGGGCAAATTCATTTAATCTGGCAGATCTAGTTCCCAGAGGCTGCAATCCTTTTGGTCAGCACCAAGAAATTGAGACCTCTGGGATTAATTGGAGGCATTAGATACTGCAGCAACCCTCTCTAGACATGTTCAGAAACTGTCATTAAACTTGATTGTGTGTGCACGATCAAACTGGAACCAGAAATTTCAAGTTCCTGCGTGGGTTCGGGGAATTACTCTCAATGGTTGACAGCCCATGACAGACAGGGGTTACATGTAAAACCAATGAGATCCTTTGGGCCACCAAGGCTACTTGTACACCCAAAACACATTGTGAAGAACAAAATGACTTCACTATAATTCTTACCAATCAGAAAAACACAGGCAGTATCAGACTGGGGCACTTGTACATGTAAGTTTACTAAAAGTTGCCATGTCATGTTTGGACAGCAAGCGCTCAACCTCATTAAGGAAGGCGAGTTAATTGAGGTTTGATAATATTACATGTACATGTGCATCACAGCTTTCATTTCTGTTAGTTTCCAAATGTAAAAAGCAATTTGATAATGGTTAGTCCACTTATTTGCAACAAGGCTGATCAATTTCTCCAAATCCTCTCAAAGTCACCAACTGTGGCAGGTGGTGCCTTTGTGGGGGAGAAAGTAATTGTTTGTTCCCCAATGCCACACTTCAATGGCCTGCGGAATAAAATAGTGCAAATCCCTAGAGAGGGCCTCTGCATAACCTGCTACCTCCTACCCAAACACAGGAAGACTTGCGATATGATAAAAGCCCACAGGTTTGAAGATACAGTCGAACCTCTCTAATACCAACACCGAAGGGACAGAGTGAAGTGTCCATATTAGAGAGGAGTCCCTGTTGGAGAGGTCAATATGATGATGTCACTTTTTAAAAGTCTCCACAGACAGTTTAGAGTGCTTAGTAACTAAAATCAGGCCCAAAAAGAGCGTCTTGTGGATTTCTGAATCTAAAAATTAATTCATTAACTTTAAATTGAATGATAAAGTGTCAATGTTTGTGTAACCACTGACAAGAAATTGTGCATACTGCACATTATCGACACTTGGTCCCTAGAGTGTATGTAATAAAGAGGTTAAATTTGTATATGAATTTGCTCCTTTGGGCCAAGATTAAGTGTCCGTTGTCCATTTTAGAGAGGGTCTGTATTATAGAGGTTTTCTTTAGAGGGAATGATGAGAACATTGTTGGTACATAGGAAACTGTCCATGTTAGAGAGGTGTCCGTATGGAGAGGTGTCTGTATGGAGAGGTGTCCATATGGAGAGGTGTCTGTATGGAGAGGTGTCTGTATGGACAGGTTTGACTGTATCTACTGGTCCCTTCAGTGACCTTCATTAGTTACAATAATGGAAAACTCTTGAAAAGAAACTGCTGTTTAAACTTACCTGAGTTATTGGAAACTCAGATTCTTAAATCTACTGTATGAAGGCAGTTTGACTTGGAAGTTCTGAAAATAATACAGATGAACATTTTAGTGTGTGTTCCTTTCCCACTCAAGTTGCAAAATTAATCATTTCAGTGTGATAAACTCTAAGGCATTGATAAAACTATGTGGATACAATGATCAGTATGTACATTACTGTACCCCAGAGTGTGTCCACTCCTATGTATATAGACAGCCCCAAGCTAATAATAATACTCAGAGAGAAATGGACAGTGGTAAGTAACACAAGTTTGTTTCCTAATTTAAACACTCCTAGCTACATGTAGAAAGTCTTGTTAATAAAACTTACCTTAAGTATATTAAGAAACTTGAAAGTCTGCTGAAATCTGTGAATGCTGTTTGACTCACTAGAGATGCTGAAGATTCAAAATATTTTCATTTTAGTTTGTTCACACCGAATCAGATTACCCTGGAGTGGCACATAATAAACTTCGAGTCTGTGTTACAAAGCATACACTGGGTAGCACAGCATTAAATGTCCCCAAGAGTGGCCCCCAAGATACATTTTACCCCAAGGATGTTGAGATTTTTAAAACACTGTAAATATTCAAAAGGCTGTCAAGTTCTTCCCTTACTGGGCATCTTGTATCTAACTCTAAAAGAGCTTACTCACAAGGTAGCCTATGGGACTGCTACAGGCCATGACAACGTACATTTGCTGTACTCTACTAGTACATCTATTCAAGGGTGTTATACATAAGTATGTTGTATTACCAGTTACACCAATCAGAGGCCTTAATTGTCCTAACATTTCACACTGACCTGACAGTCAGATTTTTGGCCAACTTTGGATACTGTAAATCTCTTAAGTACACTGTATTTGTACCTTACTGTACATAACAAAAACTTTTACAGCACATCAGGCTTGTTTGGTCTCACCAAAATACAGGACTTAACCAAATTTGCTTCATACACATGTATGGCACCGAATTGTATCAGAAGGGCTTGACACTAAAACTTTAACCCCCTTTAAACCACTTTGGAAAGTAGATTTCAATTTTTACTTTCCATCTCAAAATTATACTTTCCAAAACAGAGTGCAGTATCATGGCTACTAACCATAAAAAACTGTAAAATAAAATCCTACCACATCTTATAGAATTGATAGTTTTTTGGACAATCCTTAGTCATTAAAATTCGGGCGACTGCACCATACCATGTGTATTTATTGTACCCTGAGACCTACTAAAAGAAATGGTTTTCACTGCTCCTGGGGTGCATTGAAGTATTTTAACCTATGAAAGCCAGCGTTAGATCATTATCACTCGGAAAGGTCTGGCACTAGGCATGAAGACCAATCCGTGACCAAGTTCAATATCTGCACACATAGAAGGGCGACTTGTAACTGCCACGACCAGAAGGTTTTCTTTTTTTGTTCGCCATGATCTTGATTGTGGCTTTTGCCGCTCACAATCGCAGCTCCACCACAAAAACAAAAGAAACCCTCTGGCAAATAATATTTCAGAAAATACATGTAACACTTACAATTCATCTTCAACTTGCATCACAGGGTTCAAAATAACGCCTGGTCAGGCCAGAATGGTGACTTGACCAGCCAAAAACTTCACTTGCCGGACATGTTGACCGGTCACATCCTGTTGAGACAGTCAGGTTCTTTTTTGAATAAACAATCAAATCCTCAAATGTAAATCTTAGTCCTAAGATTTTTAATCTCTTTTTTATTATGACCTCTCACATGAAAACTTACACCAACAGGTATCTGTTTGAATGGCTCAAAATCGGCAGAATCGCCAAACATCCGGAAAGTCGCAGTTTCCACTGTACCTCCTCATCAGGATGTCACGTGCTCAGAAAAATATTCAGAAAAATATTCAGCCGTTTGAACAACTGCTGCTTAATCCCTTGGAAAAAAAATTCATCTGTTAGGACAACAGAGGTTTCAGCCTTTCCAACAGCAGAGGTTTTCCGTACAGCAAAGGGAATCCAATCAGATTCAGGTTTCATGACACTTAAGATTAGCCTAACTGTCACACTTTTATCAAAGAGCACCTCTCTTTGTTTGCGTATATTTCAAAGGTATTGCTCTACAGATGTCAAGATATTTGTTATTTCTTTCACTTTCACTGCACAAAAATCAATGAACAAGATGCCAAAATAACACTTTAAGCTTGATTGTCAAGTTGTTTCCAACTTAGACTCTTTGGGACTCCTGGACATCAAAACACACATTTTGCAGTCTGCTTCATTTCCATCAAACTGTAAATGTCACACTGAGCACAAACCCAGTATCTAAAGTAATTCAGAACCAAACAATAGAAGTTACTGTTACAAAATGTACGAAAATAATATTATTACGTACCAACAAAAAAGCCGAAGGCCTTATCAGTATCTGTATCTGTAAAGTTATTTTGTTCACGAATGAAATTTGAGACACTCTCAACTCATTGCTTAGCACATGACCAAAATTTACCCACAATCAGTGGTAAAATCTACCAAATTATGGTCATTAGTTCTTCGTGAACAAAAGCTCTCTCTACTATGACTACAACAGAATTATGATTTTTTACAGCTTAGGCCATGCGCACGGTGTTGGACGTGTACAATGGCGTAACAAAATATGCATATAACGCTAAATAGCAAGCTAAAGTGCAAAATTCATGAACAATTAAAGATCAATCTGACAGCATAAATGTTGAGTAAATTTCATGTGCATTTACCCGACGATAAGAAATTATGGCCAAACATTCTTTTGTTATGAATTTTCAACAAAATCAAAACACCGTACTCGAAATTTACAATATAAAACAGAGTGAACGCACTAAGAATTTTGGCAATTATTTCTGCTTCCACTAAAAACAAGGCACAAAGATCTCAAAAACCAAGGTGCAGTCAAAGATGAATTTCTTATCGAACGGTAGCTTTTTTAGAGCTAGAAATCATTTTCTAGTATTACATTCTAAAACATTTGACTAAAGTTTAGGTTGATCATTCAGAGTTCAACCCAGCATTTGTATTCAGTGTTTTGATGGTTTCTGTCATGCGTTTTGACCGTTTTGTTTCTATCGTTTTGTTGTTTTTACCTTTTGTTTTAAACATTTCTACTTTTGGTTTCAATAGTTTCTACCTTTCGTTTCAATCGTTTCTATCTTTCATTTCAATGGTTTATTACATTTCATTTCAATCATTTCTAGCTTTCGTAATGCTCAAAATGGATTCACCCTGCTTATGCCATTTTCGGGCTGTGAAGCTCATTGGTTTGCTTGATTAATTTTAACCAATCAGGTTATGTTTATTGACGCAGGGGAACATTTACGTACGTTGAGCAAGCAAGCTTTGAAAGTTAAAGCGAATGTAAATGGAGTTTATAAATGGTCAAAATTTAATACAGTCAAAAGATTCTGTTTTAATAACAAAATCATAAGGCAAAGACACAAAGAGAGAACTTCTTGTTGTATTAAGAGAAGCACGACATCATTCACATGAATAATGGTTTTCTGGTCAAGCAAAGTTGGCTAAAGTCCTGCGGGAATCTTACCCCGAAATTTCACTTGAAAATGTAAGTTCTGAAAAACCATTCACGATTATTTTCAGAGAAATGGCAGCTTCTTGGAAATACGTTTCTTATGATAGTAAAATGTCTTTTCTCAGAGTACTGTTTAATTGCCTCCTTTACAAGTAAAAACAAACAGTAAAAACCTAATCACTGGCTTAGCAAGGGATCGGCCGGGAGCTATTAAAAAGTAAATGAACTGTTATTTTTTGGGAAAAAATTGATATAATTTTAATTATTCAAACGATAGAAACCAAACGATAGAAACCAAACGATGGAAACGAACACAAATGATCCAAACCAGAAAAACCAAATGATTATACACAAATGATTCAAGCCATATAAACGAACGATTCAAACCACATGAACGAAGGATTCAAACCATTTAAACAAACCATTCAAGCAATAAAAACAAACCAAACCATTAAACTACACAAACGCTTGATGATGGTTTTGCAAACAAAAGTTTAAAGCGTTCTAAACAACATAAATGCTGTACATGTACATGTCCAGAAACAATGACGAAAGTGTATGGTTTGACTGAACAAGAGTGTCACACGACTTGTTGAAATGTTGGTAAGTTGACTAACTTGTTTTCGATTTTTACATTCTCAAACCCAGCAAATGAGAATTAAACAAACATGCAGGCACTTTGATTAGATACTGGAGAATTCAACTTTACTGTATACTTATTTTTAGTCATATTCTATTAATACCAAAAATATATGGTAAAGTCAGAAATCGTCAGAAATTGCGACTTGTACATCAACACATGTGCGTATGGTCCTTACACTTTAGAACTTAATTTTAGTCACATCATTTAGAAACTTCCCAACACTTGTTAACTGTAGGCATATTCGTAGTGATGATTTGCTGTGTGTTTGGAAGGGTGAAAATTGAGGAAAGAGAAACTTCTTTTTCAGCTATATTTGTTTACCCAGTCATTTCTGAAGCCCAAAATTAGGACCTGCTGATGCATGTTTGGTTTCATTCACATTTTGATGGACATAAATACTTTGTAGAACATCAAAACAACAGCTCATGGAATTCAATATACCAATCAAAAAATTTGAAGTTTCATCAAATATGCATTCATTCAATAGTTTTTCTTTGGCAGCTGGCAGGAATTCCACTGAGAGCATGCCACTTCATTGAGCTATTGAGCCCTGCCAAGGCTATCTTTGGTTAGGTTTCTTTATATTAAGCCAATTGATAAACGGTCTAGCAATGACTGGAACAAACAAATTAAAATCAATATCTTGAGTGGTCAGAAACGAGACGTGAAGGATCTAAAATAGCTCAACATGACCGACCATGGTCCGAAAATTATTTTGAGCACAGTGCAACACAGAGAAATGTAGACACCATTTTGGTGATTAAACCAGAATTTTTGGTCACCAACCTGGATGAAATGTTAGTCACA